GGAACTATTCACTGACTGGATTATATTAAACTGAACTTCCAATATTCACCACTGTTTGGCGCCAAGTAGCTTTTACCAGCTGGCTTGCTTGGACTCGCAATGAATCCTGGGATACCTGAGGTTACACCTAAATCAAATGTCTGAGCTGCTTCTTCAGCATCTAGGAAAGCTCTGCAGAGCTACGCTAACCAGGCGATATTTGAGTCAAACGCGTTAATGTTAACCTCCTAAAGATCAGCCTTTAGGACCCAAACACACAGCAACCAGGCACTGAACAGGAGTCCAAGAAGCAGAAAATTCACAGACCCGCCATTCTTCTGGTCGTCTACATTCACCTCAAGAAATTTGAATATTTAGTCACACTTTGTTTTCAGTCGTTTCAAAGAAAATACATTTAATTTTATTCTGCCTCATGTCACAGTTCACTTCATGACAACCTGATAAAGTTGATGAACCATTTTCTGATGAACAGTAGAGGTGCAAGATTAAAAACATTAAGATAAACTGTAGATGATGCCTAATCCAGAGTTTTGTGATGCATTGTGCAAAACACAAACCTTTGAACTAAAGTGAAATTAAGAGAACCTAAAAAGCTAAAATGAAAGAAACCATGACCCCCTCGATCGTTTCAGCAATTCCCTAGAATAATGAGGTTTGTTTTGTTTTTAACATACATGGACCCATTTGAATTTGGTGAAATCTTATTCTTTAAGGAACATTCTTGTAGAAGCACAAGAGTACGACTTTAGAGAAATTTAATTTGGCCAGAGTTTTCATATCAACTAAAAAACAAACACTAACAGGACCTGGAACCTCCCATCCTAAAGGCCAGAGGACTGATGGCCCAGTGGTCAGAGCAGCTCTCTGCCCTCTGAGAAGGTTCCTAGTACCCAGCTCATCCCAACAGCCTCCACTTCCGTAATAATGGTAACAATAAAATTAGATCCCTGTTCAAAGCAGACTTCATTACAGTTCCATGTGATTCCATACTGGAATAAATTTGTGCAAAACATTGACTGGAAGAAGGTCTGGCTCTTACCCAACCGATATTTGCTGACCAACAAAATTAAAGAAATATCATTTAAAATAATTCATAAGTTTTACCCGTCTAATGATCATATGGTCAAAAAATAAAAAAACATTGATGTACTGTGCACTTTTTGTTCTCTGAGTGTTGAAACAGTAACCCACTTTTTTTGGCATTGCTCTTTTGTCCAAAATCTCTGGTCTGATGTTTGTAAGTTGATTGCAGAAAAAATTGAGAAAGACTTTAAGTTATTCTGGAAGGATGTCCTGTTTGGACTTTATGACCTCATCAGTACTAAGACTAGACCAAATGGAACTTTCATTATTAATCTCATTATTCTCTTGGCAAAATTCTACATTCATAAATTAAAGTTTACGCATTCCAAAATATCATTTATTGCTTTTAACAATGAGGTCAAGCAATATGTCAACACCATTAAGTATTCTCTTAATCAAAAGGCAACAAAAACTGTAAATGTGTGTAAACTATTTAATATCTTTTTCTAAATTTGTACTTTCCTTGGTAAAATGTGAGGATTTTCATTTTTGTTTTTATTTTTTGTTAAAAAAACAGCAATGTTGGATACTGCACAGTGTAATATTTTCTCAATGGAGACAAATGTTTATATTTTTGTAAAGTGTGCAATTATTGGAAAAAAAGCCTCCACTTCCTGAGCAAGACCCTTAACCCCACACTGCTCCCCAGGCGCCGCACAGTGGCAGCCCTCTGCTCCCCAAGGGGAGGGGTTAAATGCAGAGAAGGAATTTCTCCATGTGAGATGCATAAAGGGATTTACATAAATGAGTTATCAAGTTTCATTTCCTACCATTTAATCCTGGTTAAAGAGCAGATTCTGATAATGTTTTTACAGACATTGTTTAAAGCTGCAGAACAATTAAAGGATTAGAAACACAGAGGAACTAAATATTAACCCAGACTTTAACAATCTTAAGCTTGTTTAAATTATTTTGCAGCTGCATATTTCCTGCTCAGGATTGAAGCAGTTATTTTCTCTCAGCTGCTGATCCTGCTTCATGGCTCAGGTCACTCACCTGTAGGCCTGTCCTCTGGTCGGCGCACCTGGATGCCAGTGATTCTTGTAGTTCTCAAACAGAACAGCAGTGAGAGCAGCAGCGAAACGTTCCCTGCCATCAGCATCCAGACTGCCGTATCTTTTTACCAGTCGGGTTGTGAAGAAAACCGCTGCAGCTATTTCCTCTTTCATGTCTTTTACAGCCTTTAGCTTAAATACACAATTAATCCTTTTCAGTCAAATAAAAAAAGAAAAAAAAACAGATCTAAAAAAAAAAAAACCTTGTAGGATGATCCTACTTTTAAAGAAACAGAAAAATAAAATTCACAGGACAAAGAGAAAACTCAAGCAAACATATTTGCTGAGTTCTGGACATAATAAATCCCTACAGAGATGTTTTAGAGCAGCAGTGCTTTAACCTTAACCCTAAACAAACGGTTCTGTTGGTTTAATGGAAACACAACTCACCTGTGTGACATCACGGCACACCTGAAGCTGGTTGGATTGATGGCCTCCAGCAGCGTTAGAAATGAGCCTCTCTCTTTAGTGCTGAAATGTTCCAGCTCTTTTAGCCCAAATCAACATTTTCTGTTGCATTTTAAATTTTTTCCCCTTAAAGCTGCTTTTCCACTTTAATTGTAACTGTTGCTGCAAGCATGCTTAGTGTGAGGGATTGCTGAAGAGTCAATGAGTCGATGCAATCAGCTGGTTTTCCTTAGATAGAAAACTTTGAATCAATCTGACTGAATGATCTGGTGAACTGGAAAGTGACCTGAGATGACCTGATGTGAATTGGAGCTATAGAAATAAACTGAATAGAATTGAACTAACAGATTCTGCAGGGAGGGAGAATAGAGATAGAATGAAGCAGAATGATGAAAAAGTTACAGATGAGGGCCTTGCATAGAATAATTTAAAGTTTATAAGGACAGTCTTTTCTAATGGCCGGTTGTATTTATGTAGTTATCCTGAATAAAAACATGAAAGTTTTCAAATAAAAATGTATTAACCTTAAAATCAGCCTTTCTCATGTAGAAAATTAATCATCCCACTGAACCTAATAAGCAGTCAGACCAGACCGGTGGTGCTCCGTGTTTGGAGGTGGATTCCTGGCGGCTGCTCTGCTGGCCCCCCGCAGGGCCCGGCCCGGGCTCTCGCCAGGGAGCGGGGGCCCCCCCCTCAGGGGCCTCCATTCCCTCTGGTTTATTAAAGTAAGGGAGGACCTTTATGTGAGTGTTGGTGAACACAGGATTTGGCCTTGAAACTTTACTATGGATTCAATTTGATCTATTAGTGGAAAAGTCGGTCAGCAAGAAACAATCAATGGATCATTATTTAAATCTAAAACTAATACATTCACAGTAATTTAATTAATTTAGCGTTAATCAGTAAAAAAAGGAAAACAACAATTTTTCTTCGCCATCACTGAGTCTGGGAGCGGCCATTTTTGCCCAAATCTAGTAGCCCCTCCCTCCTGCCATCTTCCAGCAGTGACGTCACGGTGCGGTAAGCCTAGCGCCATTCTCCCCGCTTTCCAAGCTAAATCAATGGGAACTACTAGACACATCTGCAATCAACAACAATTATTGAAGATTTCCAGAGGACTTCACCATTGAAATTCACCAGAGCTATAGTGAAACTGACAATGCCCACGTGCATGGCAGCTGGATGCTGGAATACATCGGGTAAAAGTGAAAAAAAGAGTTATTCCACCTTTCTGATTCCTGATCCTCCACGGACGGGTTGGTCGTTGGATCGCCAACTTGAAGAGGGAGGATTTGCCATCGAACTTCTGGCCAGAGAAAAAACCCGTAATATGTAGCCAACATTTGGAAGAAGAATGTTTTCAAGATGACTTGGATAATAGCGCGTTGTGACAAACACCAGATACAGCACTGGGACTTGATCAACAGCCGATACCGCACCGTGACAATGTCACTAACCAGTAGGTGGCAGTAGTGTTCTTTGACAAACATGGATGCCTCCAGTAAAGCACATTCACATTACTCTTAACCTCTTAAAACCCACTGGGTCTTAAGTGGGAGTAAAAACTCAAAATGCATAAAATTCCACCAGTAAACGTTTTACCAGCAGGTGGAGCCATTGAGCGCCGCTCCAAGCTGACATCAAAAGTTCAAAGCCCCACAGCTCTGGAACTGTTACAGCTTGATGTAGATGTTGATATGATGTAGAACAAATATAATACAATGAAACCTGCTTTTTCTCAAGAATATCTTTATTGCTGCTGTTAAAAAAGCGACTTCAGAGAATTAAAAAAAAACTTTCAATCATATTTTAACTGATGCAGGTTGGTCTGTGTTCTAGTCATCCAATTTTAATTTATATATTAGGAAAGTAGAGGATGTTCGCTTTCAAATAATGTATTGCACATTGTCATTTGGGCTTACGGTTCATAAGTTATTTGCTTTTCCATTTGGGTATGCAGAATAGATGAGGATTACCCAAAATGAGGTGGATGTTAAGAGGTTAAATAAAAACACACTGATCATTTATTGAACAGTAATAATTTCATATTTAAATTACTTTAAGAAGTTTGAATTCTGATTATTAGCAGACTTTTCCTTTAAGAAACTATTTTTCTATCCACCATTTTCAAGTTCAAGAAAAGTCTCTGAGTTCCCTAAATCTGACTCCAAACCTCAGCAGTTATAATATAAGCGAGTGTCTGTTATTGTGAAAATCTCTGACCTAATTGAGAATATTAAGGTCTGCCTTGCTTTAGATCAGTGACTCTGCAGTGAGTCATTAGTGATCTTGAAGTAACGTTTGGTAAAGGATTTCACTGATCACCATCATCTCCACAGCCATTGCTTCTTCTGCTGCCTCATAAAGTCTCCTGATGTTGTTCTTCAACATTCTGCTGCTCAGTTTCTAAAAACTGTTCCAGTTCTGCCTGTTTTCCTTCTTACTTACAAAAAAAAAAAAAATTTAAAATATGCTATTTTGTTTTCTGAAAAAATAACAAGCATCAACATTCAGATCAGGGAATTTATTTAAAGAATGAAGATAAAAGCTGTAGTATAAACATTCATGGAGTGAAATGTTGGAATAAAGATAGCTCTGAATTTAACTGCTTTATTAATTCACTGCTGTGAATAATTCAGACATTTGAAGGAAACATTTAACCAGAAGAAGCAGATATTTCAGAACGTGCTTTACGTGTTTAATGCTTTGGTTTGCAGACTGGTGAAAAGAAATCCTCTAAACTGTGGAAAAAGTTTCAGGGGGAAAGGATTGAAATATTAATGAATCATGGAGGAAGTCACATGTAAGGAGGAAAATTACTTTTATAAATATTCTCCCATAAATCAAAAAACAGGTGAATTCATAGATGTAAAACAAGCATGATTATTATTATTATTTGCTCTATTTCCACACAGCAGGCGTTTTTATTTAGCAGACAGAAGATTTCAATTATTTACAAAGAGAAAATATCACAAAGCATCTGAAAACAAATATCTAGAGGAGAAACAAAGTGAGGCTTTAATTGTCTCTAAATACAAACTTTATTCAGATTTCTTAGTTTTTTCCTCCAGGACTTTGCAAAAGGAGGACATCTAGTGGTGAGGTTTGGAAATGCAACCATCTGTAACATTTTCTGGAAGCTGCTGCAGATTTAGAGAAAATATTCAAGTTAAACATGAAGAAACGGGATAAAATAGGTGTGATAAGGCCCATCCTCTCAGATTTAACCTCCTAATTAGATCTTCTCCTGATAGAACAGCTTCGTTCATCCAGTTTTGACAAAATGAAAAGCTTTTCTTTTCCAGCAGCAGAATACTAAAGACATTTCCCACTTATATGACGGATATCCAACACATCAACTGTGTGCAAACTGGTTCATTGCACAAGTTCAGAAATATATGTGATGGCAGCAGAAACTTTAGAGCATTTTAGTGAACCCTGAGTTCAAAGCATGCAGCAGATTAAACACAAACCCTAATAATTATTTTAAAATATGGCATCATACAGGTGAAAGTCACTGAGTCACAAAATTATTCAAAACTACATTTATTTCAGAGGCTAAACTCGATCATTAAACACAAAGCGACATCGTTTAGGTTTTTATTTGTTTATTTCTTTAAATAAGACTCAAATATTAAACAGAGAAATATTTTGTTTTGGCCACATTCTGACTAAGGAAGCATCTTGTGTTTGAACGATCAACTGAATCAGCCTGTGAATTTCATTTTATTACTAAAATATTACATTTAGTCCAATAAATAAATAAAAAAATCAAAACGGTAACTTTCAGGTATAAATATGAGGTCAAATTATTTCCCATTTTGATTCCTGGAAGATTTTGACCTCTGAGTTTATCTAAGTGAAATTAAAAGGAAACGTCTCCTCAAATAACACAATCACAATATATTGAAAATAATTCAACTTTTTTCCAATCACATTGTGCAAAGCTGCCAATAGCTACATGCTGTGAAACGGATTGTTTTATCGGGTTAAAAACTGATTATTTAGAGAGTTTTAAATCATATGAATCCATTTACTTCATTTCATGCAACAGAAACATTTTGACAGGTTCATTTTCAAACCGGCTTTTCTTTTGTAGAAAATGTGGGCATAGCCTTCTAACCGGCTGACTTACACGTTGCAGAAAAAGTGACGTTAAAGTGCACTTTTCTTTGGACAGTTCACTACTTTCTAAAGATGTTTGGTTCTGTGCATCAGCTGATAGAACGGCCACTTCTTCTACATTTATTCAGTTTCATTATGTTTTTTAAAACAACCAATCCCGATGCTCCTACATCCCTGCATCATCAACAGCAGTACATAAACAAGCAAATGACAAGAATCCCAACAACTCCCAGTAGAAATGACAAAAAGAAGTGATAGTTCAGTGTTGCAGACGGTAAACAGACGGTCTGAGAGGCTCAGTCAGGCTTTGATTCTGCAGCAACAAAAACTGGAGAACTTTTAAGAACCCCGAGGAGAAGGTGCTTCAAACGTCTAACTCACCAAACATCATCATCATCATCACTTCCTTCTCTAAGGAACCCGTAAACTCACACACGCTGTGAAACAAAAACGCAAACCTGATTTTCATAAAACGTGATTCAACAAACTGAACCAGATGTTTTTGAATTCCTCATGTGAACCAGAGTCACACCAGAATCTGGAGGCTTCGGAAGGAGAGGATTAGATTAGAAAATCTTTACTGATTAGGATGAAAAGGTCACAACTGTAAAAAAAAAAAAACACCATTTATTGAGGATAATCAATAAATGTTCTTTGTATTAAAGTATTTTTTTCAATGGGAAAATGATTTAATCTCTTGTATAATAATTTGAGAATACTTTGACTTTCATCTAATTTCCATTTCATTGAACCTAAAACAGGCAGCAGAGTTTCTATGTTAGTAGATATTAGACATAGAATCACTTTTCCTTTCACTGAAGAACATAGTTTAAAATAAAATAAAAAGTATAGGAGACATTTTGCCTCAGATTGTAATTTGACTATTTTAATTCCTGCAAACGTTTTTTTTTGGCGTTAAAATTCCCCCCCGATGGCAGCAGATCGTTGGAGCTGGAAATGTTCAAGTCTTTCTTCAGAAAGTAAACTTCAAAACATCAAAATAGCCAAATTCTTAAAAAATGAGGAATAAAGCTTCTAAGCTGTAGTTTTAAACATAACTTTACCATCATTAGACTGATGATTGAAGCTCCTCAGGTTTCACACCGAGGCCGTCTGCATGTTTCACATGAAGAACGGATCTAAGCAGCCAGATTTTAATTGTTGTAAACATTAGAAAAGTGTAGAAATCCTCCAACTAGAACAGCAGCAGCAGCAGCTGGCAAACTGGGAGCACTTTGGTCTCCAGTAGAGGACATCTTTTACATTTAGAAAATCTTTTTTTTTTTATTGGTTTAGATGGAAATGAAGGAGAAGTTTTATCTTAAATTAAAGTGCAAATTAGGAAACAGTGGATCAGGATACCTTAGATCATTTTTAAATGTTAGCTACCTCAGATTTATGAAAAACCTTTAAATAAAATAACACCTGATACTGAATCATGTTTGGTAATCCAGAATATTAATATTTAGGTGTAACAACTTTGGACCTTTACAAAAAAAATCAAATAAGTTAGTCTAAAATAAAATCTGGTCTGCTTAATGCATTCAATGAATCGCAGTTTTGGCACAAAGTAGAGCGACAGACTGAAAGCAGCTGATTCAGAGGAAGAAGGCCTGTCCAGATGTTTACAGGATCTGCTGCAGCAGGTGCTGCATGGCGGCGATGAATAAAAACAGAGAAGCACGTCTCTGGGGCAAAATGAAATAAAACAACGTCCTTAAAAGAAAGCTGCTCTGATCCGTCTGTTGGTTCTCTGAGGAGACTTTGGCTCAGAATTAGAGCTTCTAAAAATGTCCCTAAAAGGTTTTAGGGGTAAATATCCTCCCATAGACGGATTCTCTAACTTTACCTTCTGAACTTGATCATCTTTTCAGAACGAATCTGAGATGTTTTCATGTCAGTCAGGGAAGCTGATAGAAGCCAGCCTTCATTCATCTGTTAAATGAACACCTTGGCTAAAAATATTATTTTCCATTTTCCCTGTGCAGCCGCGTCACACACCATCATGATGTTTGAATAAATAAAGAAAACATTCATTTCAACAGATAAAAACAAACCTGTAATAATAAAGTTTGAATATTTCTCAGCTGTAAAGGAACCCAGTGACCTTTTTGATTCTCCATCGTTCTGAAAGCTTTAGCTGCCAGAGGAGCGTCCGCCATGATGGAGAGCAACTGAAATGGAGTGAAAGCACAGATGGAGAGTAAAAACAGGACTGGATGCGAGTGCAGGCGGACTGGCAGGTTCCTTCTTTGCTGGTGACCATAAACTCCACATAAAGTCCAGCAGACCAACATCCTCCCCCCCCCCCCGTTAAAACGGGAGCTTCTTCAGCTGCTCGAACGTGATGAAGAACTGGACTCCTGTTAAGGAAAACGCTTTGCATAGAACAGAAGCCTGCCAGGAATTAGACAAGAAATATTTCTGAGAATTCCTTCATTTTACTGGCAAATACAAAGCTGGCTTTCAAACAGTGTCATCTAGATAAACTAGATCCTTGATCACACCCATCCCCTCTGTCCAGGTTAGATCTGTTCTGGAGTCACAGCTACCATGATGCAAAAAAATAATAAAAAAATGGAATGTATTAGGAGCATATTTCCTAATTATATCATAATTAAAGCCTGACGTTTACATTATCAATTTACAATATAGCAAACTGTGCTAAAAATAAAAAAAAAGGTTTTTAACGAGAGGAATAATGGATCCTTTTCTAGATAAAGGTACGATTGTCTCTTAGAGGAGGCTAATTTCTCTGGTTTAATCATTTTTCTAAAGGTTAAATTAATCAGATGAATTTACTGTGAGCCTCTGCAGGTCTGATGGTTCCCTTTTCTGCTGCTCAGCTGAAAACAGCAAAACGCTCTGAAGATAATTTATTAAACAGGATTTATACAGGAATGAGTAACTCTAATTTCATGTTTTAATGCTCTTAGAATCAACAAGTACCCATGAATCTCGTATATATAAATCCTTGGTCATCTTTACCGTCGACAGGCTGCAGCAATGTCCCCAATTCCTCGCTTTCCAGCCATTTTTTTTTTAAATGAGCAATATCTCCATTCTCCGGCTTTTTCTCCACGTTGAGCTTCTTTTCTGAACATAAAGCTTTACGATCAATCGGAAGCAATTACAACCAAATATATCGCAATATATCTGATGATATTGTTTTACTAAACTTTTTTTTTAATAAAGCATTTTAAATGTCACAATAATCACGTTTAATAAATTTTAACGCCAATTAATGCTTTGATTTAAAAAACAATTTAATGACTTTAATGACCTGCAGAAACCGTGATAAAATAAGTTTATTTACCCTTAATTTGAGTTGGAAAATAAGATAACTGAGATGAAATGATCATTTTTACCATTAAAATAAGATAATTAGATTTAAATTTACTTGAAATAAGAGAAGGCAGTTCTTTTATTCTTATTTTAAATGTGAATTATCTTATTCCATTTGCAATATGTCTCACTAGACTGCTGAATTCAGGAAAAAAATGCGCTTAATTTAAGAAAAATATACCAACTTAGATTTACATTTTCAGTGAGGTCATATCTAAGTTTTTTTGTCAGGTTTGAACTATCATCTGTTCACGTCTATAAAATTATGTGATTTACAAAATCTAAGACTTTATTGGACTGAAGAAACAGAATAAGAAGAAAGTCTGGTTAAAATATGACCAATGGTTATCACAAGACCAACCAACTTTAGACGACTGGATGGATAAAACATTTATAAAATGGAAATAATAACCGCCTCTCAGAACAGAACAGTTCTGTTAGTGTTGGCAGATTTAGGTAGACTAAGTAAAACTTTAAATAAAACTTTAAAGATCTGATTTCGTTTTTATAGACCTAACATTTCCTCAACAATCCACTCTCCCATGACAGACATATTTTACATCTACTTTATGTTTTTGTTTCTCTTTTGTTGTCGTTTCATGTTTAACACTCTTTATCTTTCTTTATAATCTTTCTCGGGGAAGTGAGATTGTGTTTTTGTTTAGACTGAATAAAATGGCCTAATTGTCCTTATTTTAAATGTAATTAATCTTGTGATGTAGTTCAGAGGTCTTCAACGTTTTCCAGGCCAAAAATCCAAAATGATGGTGAGATGGAGCGGGGACCCCCTGATTATAGATATTATGAAATAGTGTTCTATCAAACTGGTCCTATAGTCACTCTATTACAGATGGAGTAATGTAACTAAAGTAATCCCTCGCTGGGATTATTAAAGTATTTCTGATTCCTGGTTGATGGGACAGGTGTTGTGAATGAAACGGTGTCCAGCTTGAAAGAGCTCCTGTTTGTCTCTGAATGTGAGCATTGATGACTGAAAGACATCTTCTGCCTCCATTTATCTGTTCATGTGGATTTAAAGACATTTCAATCAGTGGGAAATATTGCAGTCCCTCTGTAGACCTGCTGAAGACCTCCCATGTAGAGGACTACGTTTGGTAAATGAATCAATAAAGATAAAATAAAAAATGTGACGTACAGATGGACCTTTAGTCCTGACAGTCTCTACAGACTAAACGCTGATAACAACAGAAGGATGTTTCTCATCGTGTGTTTAAAGGATACGATGATGTTCCAGGGACCGAGTCGCAGCCAGTTTGGCCAAAATCCCTTATAAAGAGCAAAGAATCCCTCGTTCCTCCATGTCTGCATCAGACCATCCAGCGTTCCTTTATACATGGGGCTCCCGGATAAAACCCGCTGGTTCATCATACGGGTGCGGACCACGTCCACAGGGTTGGAGGCCAGCGCCCCCGCCAGCCCGCACGTGAAACTGGAACTGAGTAAAACATGGAGGAATTAATTCACTTTAAAATAAAATAAAATATCAGAGAATAGAGACGTACATGAAATGTGCTAAAATGGTGTCTCCCATCAGGCCGGAGCGAAGGAGGTGCTTTTTTGTGATGTCATAGACAGGAAGTTCAACTCCGACCACGATGGCTGCCCGCTGTGCGGTGGGGATGACACCCTGAGGAAGAAGAACAAATCTAAGAATGTATCTCAGAATGACTACACTGGTGCAGGCAATCAGTCACAGAAAGAAATTAGAATAAAATCAACCAAACTCCAACATTTTAACCCAAAATTTATTTATTTTATTTACGTCTGAAACCAGAATTTTGATCTTAGTTTTGGGCATAATAACATATTTTATCTCTAATCGCCCCTGAAAGTGAAATCCCTTCAATAAAGCAACATATTGCTGTTGAGCCGAGCCTCAGCAGCTCAGGTGTTCGATTCAGCAATGTCCTGAAGAACCGCTCTAAACAATCAGCAACCGTTACTTTAAGCTGAGGAATATTCCACATTCAGGCCACTGGTGGTCCAGTTGGAAATGATTATTCACGCTTTTATCTCCTCACTGTTTGACTATTGCAAGTCTTTTTACGTGTTTGAGCAGGAAGGAGATTTACCAGAAATCTGCTCTGAACTCACATGAACAAAAGAAAGCAGATGACACCAGTATTAGCAGCACTGGTTTCCAGTTCGGAATCCTTGTTCTTACTTTCAGAGGCCTGCCAGTAAAGTTCCTCCATACTCTGAGCTTACTGGTTCAAACATGGATAGAGCTTTAAACCCAGAGGGGCGCTTCATCTCAGGCTGTGGATGAATTCTGCTGATTCTATTAAAAAGCAACTGAAGACGCTGCTATTCAAGCAGGCTTTTAATCAGACGTTTGGTTTTTATGGCTTTGTTTCTACGTTTCCATTTGTTTTTAAAATGTTGATATAAATGTATTTTACATTGTTTTGTTGTTTTACATTTTTACTGTGAAGAACTTTTATCTGTGAAAACTGGTATACAAATAAATTTAGCTTACCTACTAGCCAAAGCTTCCTTAAAGAAGATTTGTTATGATGTATTTATTTTTTTTATTGTTGGTATAATTGCTCCTCTAAGCGGGACACACTGTCAGCTAAAGGTACATTTTAGAGTCTCTATACTCCAGTTAACGATTAATCGATTACTTAGCACTAGTTAAGATGAACATTGATTCAAAATCGGTTTATCATTTAAGAGCCATAATAGAGACGGACATTTTCATACTTCATCCTTAGACCCAGATCTTTAGTTGCTCCGTTTAACTCTATTTATCATTTAATCAGCTAACGAGCTTTTACTGTCCAGGAGGAAGAAGAGAAAGAACATTCCACGTATCGCCTGGAGGGGAAAGCACCATGTTTGACTTTATATATGGATGTTTTCAGGATGATCAGTCAGATATGTCAAAGTAAAATTTGTCGTAAAATAAGTTTTATAATGCTTTCCACAGATGCAGCATTGAGGATCTCTGCAGCTCCCCCAGAGTTACCATTATATATCTGTCTGCTGCCATAGTTCCAGCCATCAGTCTAGGTGGCTGATCACCTGATCATCATGTTTTTAGTTCAAACATATGCCTTACTGCCTCACTCTATTAGAAAACAAAACAAAAAACTTTTTTCTGACTTTAAGAATTTCTTCCTTTAAGGAAAATGATTTGTAGTTTTCCTGGATTTTCTACCAGATCAGGGATTTTCCAGATCTTGTGTTACCAATGATACCTTTTGTTTATTAATGAACTTTAATAAACCTGAAGCCTTTAAAGATCGACTGGATTTATACTGAGATTCATATTTTCATAGACTATGCTTCAGGGAACTAGATTTGGACCCAGTCCCATTTCTCTCACTTGGACTCGTTTTGGACCCTAGCCTCTGTTTGGCGTGTTCACGTATAAAGGTAGTGTGTCCCAATAATGTTGAGAGCTAGGAGGAAGTTCCCTTCAACCCTTAAAATGATCCCTTCAGACTGAGTCAGGTCGGGAGCCGACGTCCAAACGGAGCGGCTTCCCAGAACTCATTCAGTGAAAGAAAAATGCCGTCCGGCTGTTAAAATGTAAGTATCATTCTACAAATAAACACGCATTTAAAAAACAATATGTTGGGAAATATGTTTGACATAAATACAACTGAATTCCTTACTGTTGTGTTAAAACATGAATATTATAAAATCACCATTTCTAGTAATACACCAATCTACGAGGGTTTTTTGTTTTAAAGGTAAAGTAGGATGATTATGGTCAGGGTGGGGTTGGTTGGAGGTTGATTGTTCCAAACATAAAGGCAGCAGAGATGGCAGAAGTATGAGGAACTCACTCTCCACAGCCCCCTGGTGCCCTCTGTCTGATAGATGTTGATGAAGTTGGACATCATGCTGCCTTGTAACAGGCTGCCCTGCGCCTGCATTCTGATCTGAAATAAAAACAGTAGAAAAAAGAAAGTTTTTCATTTAATCAAACTCAAGTTTTATTTTTTACTGATTTATATTAATACTTCAAGTAAATCCATTGATTAAATCACTGCACAGATCTAAGGTTAATTAGCTACCAGCTGTAATAGTTGGACCAGCAGATTTCATGAGAAACTGGGAGCAGATTTTCCTTATTACCGTAATTCCCAGACTATAAGCCACTACCTTTTCCCCTCACTTCGAACTATGCAGCTTATAAGAAGGTGCAGCGTTTCTGTGGATTTTTCCTAAACCCCAGAGGGGGAAGACAAAGTTAGAAGTTAAAGAATAAAGAAGGCCTGGTTCTCCTCCCCCAGCAGCGTGTCGCAGTTATTTTGATTTCTGCCCAATATTGAAGCGTGGTCTGCGCTATGCTATTCCACGCCACAACGCCAGAGGGCCAATCAGGAACTAGCTGTGGGTCTAGATACGGCCGAGGCGGTGAGGAAGTGGTGAAAAGTTTGTGCGACAACGGAGGGACATGAGGGCCAAAAAGAGCGGGGATCCAGGTGGGAAAAGGGTCCCAGCGTTCTCACGCTCCTCGCTCTGCTAGCTGCTCCATCTTCACCAGTCGTTTTCCATAATGGCGGCCAGACAAACAAAACAAGCCGGTAAGGAACCAAACAGGAAATACTCATAGAGTAGAGCGGATGTAGATTTGACCAATCAGAGGCCTCCTGTGTGCGCTCACCTACAGTCAGGGAGAGGTGCAGCAGAGTGTCTGCGGAGGGGGCGGGGCATATCTGTGTTAACTGCGACACACACAGACCACCTGGTTTCTGAGCATAAATCAGCCTTAAGGTGCTACGAACATGTTAGCAGCAGGTATGGATGAGAACTAATGTCCCAAATTCACACATTTTGACATTTATTTGCTGCATTAAAGCTGCTGAACCAATGAAGAGCCTGGTTTCAACTCCTGCAGAGCTGAAATAAAGAGCTGATGAAGCTCCATCTTTCAGGAGAAGCTCTTACTGCTGCCAGCTAACAAGCTAATGGGAGCTAGCATTCTCCTCCTCTAGGGGCTATATGTAGAGCTCCCCCTACAGGTTTGGTGAGTCTCACTACCCGATCCGTCCTGCACAAAATAACTTCCAGGGAGGCAATACTTTGTTTTCTTATTTTTTTAATCCTTTTGTCTTTTTAAGGCAGGGTGTTCCTTTTGAATATTTTTGTATTAAATAAATGTATAAATATTGAATAATTTAAAAACAAAAACAAAAAGTACTACATTAAAAAAATACCACTTGAATAACCTTTGGAACATTACTGGTACTACTGTGAGCATGTCCAATGATGACGCCACGAAATAAAACGTATCCATTTATTCCAGAGAAGTCTTCAATATTTTCTATAGGATGTAGTTTAGCATTCTTTAATGTTTTAAGTATATAAACTATTTTCAGAACTGTTATTACATAGTTTTTAGGCGATACGGATCTTATTATTCTTTTCATGCATGCGCAGGACGGATCGCCCTTCCAGGACGGATCGTGCTTCCAGGACGGATCGTGCTTCCAGGACGGATCGT